TCTGATTTTCTTCTACTATGAGATATTCAAACCTATAATGAATCATATACGTGCCCAAGCCTGGTTAATTGGAAGCCACTCAGCTCAATCAAAGGCAGTAGCACTTAGAAGTAAAGTAATACGATGTGAGTCACTTACCTATGTAATTAAAAAATTTCTATTGGTCACTAAAAAGGTAAAAGTAAAACAGGTAAAATTAACTTTAAAATCTTGTCTAACCTAATATATTCAAAATGTTATCACTGCAAATATGTAATCAATGTAAAAACTGAGATTTCATGCTAGATTATATCCTCTTAGGATCACTCTTTTATTTATTTATTTATTTATTTTTTTGAGATGGAGTTTCGCTCTTTTTGCCCAGGCAGGAGTGCAGTGGAGCGATCTCAGCTCACTGTAACCTCTGCCTCCTGGGTTCAAGCGATTCTCCTGCCTCAGTCTCCCGAGTAGCTGGGATTACAGGCGGGCGCCACCACGCCCAGCTAATGTTTTTGTATTTTTAGTAGAGACGGAGTTTCACCATGTTGGCCAGGCTGGTCTCAAACTCCTGATCTCAGGTGATCTGCCTGCCTCAGCCCTCAAAAGTGCTGGGATTACAGGAGAAAAGAAGCTGTTAAAAGAAGGATCCTTGGCTGGGCCCCAAGGATCTTTTCTCCTGTTGTTGTAAAGTAGTGCCAACTAGTGCACCCTCCAGCCAGTATGCCCACACTCTCAATAATGGCACTCAGTCATTGAGCAGGTTAACTAACACGTGCAAGATCCCACAAAAGGCACTTGTTGGAGGCTTTGAACTTCCAAGGAAACAGGTTATCCTTATGGCAGGTTATCCATATGGCTCATAAACAGACAAATACTAGAAGATCTTAAGGTTACCTGGCTAAGATGTGCTACGACAGAATGAAACCAGAACTGATGGAAATGCCTCTTCTCTTTCTAGTCTCCATCTTCTGACCTGACTGCTTTCTTGAAAGAGCCAGTATGTGAAACATCTCCATTTAAGACATGTGAGTACAAGATCTGGGAAACGCAACAGTGTATAGCTACACCATTTAAGTAACAAACTAACCCAAGACTCAGTGCCCAATTCAGACTTTACAGTATCATCTATAATAACTTTATAAATCTGGATCACCCTGAATATGGAGTTTTGTATTCTGCTCTATTTAGCAATCATATTATAATCATTTTCTTAAGCTATTACCTGCAAACACATGGATGTTTACAGCTACTGAGATTTTGATCAAGATGTCTCCAAAACAGACTCCAGCCTGCCCCCTATTCAAATGACTATGTTCAATCCCTCAAAAAACACTGACAGAGCAAAGACAGGCCAGGAACTGTTGTGGGCGTTGGTGATATGATGCAAACAGGACATATAGGGTCTTTGACCTCACATGGCTTATATTCTAGAGGGAAACAGGTCATAAATATATAGTTATCAGATACAAGTGAATGAAAAGAACATAACGCAGGGTGAGAGACATGTAATCATTTTAGTCTAACCCTATTATTTATTAGGTTGAACCACATGAAACTGATGATATTCAACCATTTCTGACCTACAGAATGGGCAATTTCGTAAGTTTCATTCTGTCAGGAAACAACCAAGAAATGCTTCTGATGGACCGGAAATTATAATGAATCCTTGAAAGGCAAGAAGACATAGTGGCCTGGACTGGACAACTATCTCTCCCATAGCAGAAGCTCTAGGAAAAGGCTGTGAATGCAGAAAGCTCAGAGACAACTGATGGGAGGAGCAGCATGGACTAAGGTGGTAGGCAGGGTGATTGGATGAGGGATCCTGGAAGGAGCCCCAGATGATTTAACTCTGTGCTACACCCCCATCTCCAACCAGCCCTGGGGGCTCTGTCTTCATCCAGAGCATTCTGAGAGGCAAATATTTCTACCAGGAATAGGGGAAGGGGTGGCCCTAGTATAGTAGCCCTCAACCTTTTTAGCACCAGGGACCGATTTTACGGAAGACAATTTTTCCATAGAGAGAGACAGGGGGATGGTTTCAGGATAAAACTCTTCCATCTCAGGGCATCAGGCATTAGACTTTCATAAGGAGTGCAAAACCTAGATCCCTTGCACACAAAGTTCACAATAGGGTTCCTGCTCCTCTGAGAATCTAAGGCTGCTGCTGATCTGACAGGATGGGGAGCTCGGGCAGTCATGCTCACTGTTGCCCTGCAGCTCACCTTCTGCCGTGCAGCCCAGTTCCTAACAAGCCGCAGGGGTTGGAGACCCCTAACCTTGAGACCACCACTTTCCCCTGCGAATTCAACTACTTCTAAACCCAGAAAAGGTCCAAGAACTTGGTGGTCTATCGTTGTTTTTTCTTTTTTTGGGGGGGTGGGGGTGGTATAAAGGAACAATATATATTGCTTGTGCAATTAAAAAAAAAAAAAAAAAAACCCCTAGCACCTCTGGCACCTGATGGATCATATGATGAAGAGACAACTGGACACGTCACATGCCTCCTGACAGGATGCAGAAAGAAAGATCCTTGCCAAGAATTCAAACCTGGTTATGATCAGGCCACCAGAGCTAAATCTAGTTTACAGCAAACACAGGGGACAAGAGAAGTCACTAAATGACATTTAAGGATACTATCAGTAAAATCCAGAATGTGGATGAGCACTAAAAGACAAAAAGGAATAGGAAAAAAGAAGGTGGAATCCTCCAGACTAGAAGGCTTATTAAACCCACATGTGTAATGAATGGACCCTTATGTGAATAAATCAACTATTTAAAAAAAAAGGTCATGAGACAATAGAGTGGAGAGAACTTCCTAGACATCTAATGGTAAGAAAATATTAATTTAGGCTCTTTAAAAAAAAAAAGTCCTTTTGAAGCTAGAATTAGGAACTTAAAGAATCCCTGATTATTATTATTCTTTTGTGTCTATGTTTAAAAACTCCCATAATATAAAGAGACAGTCTACAGACTGGAAAAAATGTTTACAGCCCCATAACTCCAATAAGGGGTTAATATCCAAAATGCATAAGGAACCTAACTGAAAGAAAGTTCCAAAAACACAACTCGATTAAAAAACAGGAAAAGGACTTGAATAGACATTTCTTAAAAGAAGACATACAAATGGACAAACAGCTGCATGAAAAATGTTCAACATCACTAATCATCGGGAAAATGCAAATGAAAACCAAGATATCAACTGTTTGGCCTTTTTGCTATACCACCCAGGCTGGTGTGCAGTGGTGCATTCATGAATCACTCACCCTTTACCTCCCATGCTCAAGTCCAACCTCAGTCTCTTAAGTAGCTGGGACTACAGGTATATACCAACATACCTGGCTAATTTTTTTTTTTTTTTTTTTTTTAATAGAGGCAAGGTCCTGCTATGTTGCCCAAGCTAGTCTCAAACTCCTGGGCTCAAGCAATCCTCTTGCTTCAGCCTCTTGAAGTGTTAGGATTACAGGCATGGACCACTGTGGCAGGCCACAATGACTATTATCAAAATGACAAAACATAACAAGTGTTGATGAGGATGTGAAAGAAACAGGAACTTTGTATACTGTTGGTAGGAATATAAATTAATATAGCCATTACTACAATTCCTCAAAAAACTAGAAATATCAACTACTACATGATCCAACAATCCCATCTCAGGGTGTATAAGGAAATGAAATTTTTTTTTTGAGACAGAGTCTTGCTTTTTCAGCAGGCTGGAGTGCAGTGGCGCAATCTCTGCTCACTGCAACCTCTGCTTCCTAGGTTCAAGTGATTCCTCCGCCTCAGCCTCCCAAGTAGCTGGGACCACAGGCACGCACCACCACACCTGGCTAATTTTTTTATATTTTTAGTAGAGACGGACGGGGTTTCATTGTGTTGGCCAGGATGGTCTCGATCTCCTGACCTCATGATCCACCCCGCCTTGGCCTCCCAAACTGCTGGGATTACAGGCGTTAGCCACCGTGCCCAGCCAGAAAATGAAATTTTATGTCAAGAAAGATACCAGTACTTCTATGCTCCTTGCAGCATTATTCACAATAGCCAAGATATGGAAGCAACATAAATGTCCATCAACAGAAGAACGGATAAAGAAAATGTGGTATATATACACAACAGAATACCATTTAGCCTTAAAAGAGAAGGCAATTCTGTTAATTGCCACAACATGGGTGAACCTGAAGGATATTATGTTATGTGAAATAAGCTAGCCACAGAAAGACAAATAATGCATTAACTCACCCATATGTGGAATCTAAGTAAGTCCAATGCATAGAAGTAAAGAGCAGAAAGGTTACCAGGGGCTGGGGTTCAGGAAGATGTTGATCAAAGGACAAAATTTCAGTTAGACAAGAGTAATAAGTTTTTGAGATTATATGGCATGGTAATTATAGCTAATGCCATGTATTACATATTTCAAAATTGTTAAAGTAAAAATCAAAGGTTCTCCACAGATAATATGTGGGGTTATGTTAATTAGCTTTGCTAATCATTGTACAATGTATACATATATCAAAATATAATGATGTACCTCATATATACATTTATCATTTGTCAATTAAAATTAAAAAACAAACATGATGAAAAGCTTAAAGCAGGCGGGGCGTGGTGGCTCACACCTGTAATCCCAGCACTTTGCACTTTGGGAGGCCGCAACGCGTGGATCTCCTGAGGTCAGGAGTTCGAGACCAGCCTGACCAATACAGTAAAACCCTTGTCTCTACTAAAAATACAAAAATTCACTGGGCTTCGTGGCCTGTGCCTGTAGTCCCAGCTACAAAAGCCTGAGACAGAAGAACTGCTTGAACCCAGGAGGTAGAGGTTGCAGTGAGCCAAGATCGTGCCACTGCATTCCAGCCTGGGCAATAGAGTGAGACACCATCTCAAACAAACAAACAAACAAAAACAGCAAGCAAGCCTGTGGCCCTCCCCTCCCAGTTTCCCTGCCGGTTCCCACACAGTATCCATTTGAGCTGAAAATGACCAGCTATAACAGCGTTAATAAAGCATTTCATATGACTGCTTACCTGTCAATGAACTGATCAATAATGACAATATCGCCGGGCTGAATCTCCTCCCTCAAGGAGCCACAAGCTGTGGTCACTATGACATGTGTACAACCCTCTTCCTTCAAAGCCCAGATGTTTGCCTGGTAGTTGACCTTTGAAGGCATGATGGTGTGCTGTCTCCCATGCCTAAGGAAGGAGAGAAAAAAATCATCAACCTGTGATGAGCACACCACCACCTGTTTTCTCCTAGAGTCTAGAAAAAACGTGATTCTCTAGCAATGACCACAGACTAACACAGGGGGTCTCCTAGAACCCACTCCAGTGACCAACTAAAACTAACATTTAGGTTCCCTGGATTCTGAAAAGACACTTCTGTCTCAAAAATGTAGAGTGGCAGACAGACTGTAGTGTGGTCCCCACTGTCATGCGCTGTATAAAGTATTGGTGAAAATGAGACTTGCATCCAGCCGTTAGGAAATGGCGAACATGCTGTAAGTCACTTCCACGATTAGGCTCTACCTTGCAAGCATGCAGGAGAGATTCTCCTGCCGGCCTCCTGCATGCTTTCAAGGTACAGCCTAACCACAAAGGTGACTTCTAGCACCTCCACTATATCCTAATGGCAAGGAGCAAGCTGCTGTCAAGTGAATGGCCTGTGGAGCAGGCCGCACGGCAGGGAGTGTGAACCACCTCTAGAAGCCAAAGGTCTCCACCCTGCAACTTCCAGGAACTCAATTCTCCTATAACCACATGAGCTTAAACAAGGACCTCAAGCTGCAGATGGGGACCTAGTCATTGAATACACCTTGCAGGGCCTTGTGCGACGCCAAGCAGACAAGCTGCTAAGCTGTGCCAGACTCTTGACCAGCAGGAACTGGGAGACAATGTGTGTTCTTTTAAACTGCTAAATTTGTGGTAATTTGTTACATAACAGTAGAGAACTTGCACATATATCTTGAATAATTTCTAACTATGGGATAAAAATGACTTTGCCTCCTCTGATAAAGAGCAGCACCAGCCTCCTTACGGAAACAACAACGTAGACACGAGTAACCCACTTCAGGAGCCCTAAGCCCACTCCCCACAGACATATAACTTCTACTATCAAGAGGTCATTAATGATGCATTGTTTTTCTTTATCTTGATAAGAAGGGGGGAAAACGAACAAAACATTTCTTCTTGCAGTTAGAACTAAAACCAGAGCTTTGATCTTAGTCGTCTCAATTACTTTCCCAATCTAAGGGGTAAGGGCATGAGATCTTTGATCTCCTAAGTCAATATAACTCAACCCAAAATAATATACTGTAAATAAAGGTTGCTAGGATGTTCTGATTTTGCCAACATATAAAAACTCACACTTGCATTTTTACTCTTTCCAGAATTTAAGTTAAATGTAAATTATCTTTTAGTAGTAACATCCAAAAAGCTTAAAGTAACCATACCTTGCAAGGAGGACGCAATCAACGTTTTTTATCTTCCCCAAAATTAAGGCATCAGATGGCTGCATGCAATGGAAAAATGATAATTAACTCGGTGGTTTTAAAACAGGTATGTAAATTAAAATTGTTCAATCACAATAGGACTCATGGAATCTGAAGAGTATGAGGACACAACTTAGAGAAAAGGCAAGATCTGATTATCAATACAATCATTTAATCAATTATTTGCTGACCCCTCTGCACGCACTGATTCACGGAAGGTTACCATGGGTGTCTGCGTAGGTACCATTTAGTCAGATCTATTTGTAACGAGTACCCCAGGGGACTCTGACGGTAGACTGGTCAAATTTCAATACGTCAAAGTTATTGGGCAAGTTCAAGAACAGGTGTGAGGGTGAAAGGCAGAAAGGGTAAGAAGCCACTGTCATGACATGAAGAGCTCAGCACTGGAAATGCCTGCTTGTGTTAGCCAGGTCTAAGATAGTTATGGAATGACTTGAGGTAAGGAAGGCTAGAAAGAGCTATACAACCAAGGGGTTTAAGACAATGAACCAAGATGACAGCAGGAATGCGAGGACACAAGGTAATGCAAGCATTTAGCTGAAAAGGAGGGTTTGATTGGGACAGCCAGAGACAGAGATCTTACAGAAGGATCAGAGGATGCAGTAATACGGAATTAGGAGAACGCAGACACCCTCACCCTGGCCTACTAGGCTGAGTGACATGGGCTTGGAGAAGAAGCAACCTCTCCTGCAAAAGGAAGAGTGTTGTTTTTTTTTTTTTTTTTTGAGACGGAGTTTCGCTCTTGTTACCCAGGCTGGAGTGCAATGGCGCCATCTCGGCTCACCGCAACCTCCGCCTCCTGGGTTCAGGCAATTCTCCTGCCTCAGCCTCCTGAGTAGCTGGGATTACAGGCACGTGCCACCATGCCCAGCTAATTTTTTGTATCTTTAGTAGAGACGGGGTTTCACCAGGTTGACCAGGATGGTCTCGATCTCTTGACCTCGTGATCCACCCGCCTCGGCCTCCCAAAGTGCTGGGATTACAGGCTTGAGCCACCGCGCCCGGCGAGTGTTTTGTTTTTAACTCAGTTATGCATTCAACTAACATCAGGTATGTTCTCATTCCCAGAACAATTCTCCCCACTCAGAAAATACCACTTGGTTATAATAATTCATCCTATTAGTCATCAACCTGTCCCCTAAATTAGTGTGGTGTGACCTACTAGCCCCATATTAGAAGGTGATTTGAATGGAGATTTGAAAAGCGCAGTTGCTGTCTGAAATGAGCATCAGACTTCTAGCAACAGATTTTGAGAAATGATTTACATATTCAGTACCCATCTTCTCAAAACATCAAAGTCTGGGGCATCCGTCAGACGTCTTCTCAGCTAAAGGAACCTAACGGCAGAACTTCTGGCCCTCTCTGCTGGGAGCAGACAACCCTGGGCCGCCAAAACAGAAGCAATTTTTTTATCTTTAATTTAAAAATCAAGCCAGCAAGGAGAAAGGAAAAAGCTAACATGTCTCCTCTAGTTGGATATTAACCTTGCCAAATGGAGTATCCACATATTTTTCAGTTCTTCCTTCTAAAATTTCTGGATCATCCAGGCCTGTTCCACCAATTATTCCAATCTAAGAGAGAAAAAGAAAAGATTATTGTATTTGGTAATTTTTTATTAGAAAAAAAAATTTTAAGCAAACTCATTTATTCGTATGTTCTTCTTCATTCCTGCCAAGCCCTAGTTATATTTTTAAAATCTGAAAATTACTGAACAATCAACAAATATTTGAAAGTCTTCTATAAAAATCAACAAATATTGAAAGGCCTTCTATATTCTAAAAAGAGCCAAAAGGCCACCTTTCTGGACTCCATCACATTTACTTCTGACTGAATTACAAGTCAGCACAGAGAGGTACTTTAACCAACTCGGGTTAGAAAATCAAACCTAAAAGTAGTCAAATATGGTAATGGAAAGTACTTTTTGATCAATTTTATTTCTCTGCCAAATGGACTATGGAGTAAAGAATGTTCAGAAGACTGCTGAACATTTGGTAATGATTTCTCCTCACTATTCTATTTGATAAAGAAATGAGAGGTTATCTTTCCTATGCCATTAGAATCTCAAAACTAGGACAGAATGCAGACAGAGGAGACTGAAATAGCATGAAAAGTTATCCTCATGTATATTCATGAAATCAATCATTCATATATATGCAAATTCATATTTATATACTGTAACTACATATATAACATACCCATATATTACTGAGTAAATATATTTATGTAAATAAATATAAGTAGTTCAAAAGGTTATTAAGTTTTTTTAAGTTCATGCATTATGTTGCATTTTTCAGAGATTATCTTGAAAATCTGTGTCTGAGTTAAAGAAACCTAGCATTACTCTCTGAGAGTTGATCTAATTTGATGATTAAAAAATAGAAACAACAACAATTACAAAAATAAATATTAACTCAACTGTTAAAACTAAAAATTAAGTAACAAATCATTAGGGTAATTTCCTTGGGCTGGTACTTCCTAAAAGAGAAAGTAAATAGTGCAAAGACATGACACTGTACTAGAAACCTAATTAATGCAAAGTCACCTGAGCATTGTTATTCTTCAATGAAAAGCTTTAAATCTATTGTCACTTGAGTAACTAAATAAAATAAAGTAGGCTTCAAGAAAAAATTCCAGAGTTAAGAATTCAGTGGACATCTGAATTAAATAATTTTCAGGTCAGGTTACACAAGTTGAGCCCTATCAACACATAAAAAAATGGTTACGTTTCTGACTCAGTTTCCTGAAAACAAACAAACAAGAAAATAAGGGCAATTTAGTGAGATTTTTACTGAAGAACTCTGCCTGTTACCCATGACATGATTAAGTGATTTGGGACTGTCTGCCACGAATTCCTTAAGCGGAAAAGCCAGGTTTTGATATTGGCGCCATCTTGTGGACGTAATTATTAAAACCACAGCAGGTTAACATAACTTTATGTCACCGAACTTAACATTATTGTTAAAGGGTAACCAGTATTATAGTTTTCAAATCAGCATAAGTGTTCACTTAAGTCAATAATTTAAATAATTCCAGTTCAATAGAAAAGAACAAAAATTCATACAGTTTTAGGAAATCCCAATCCTTCCTGAGCCTGGCTTCTCCATCTTATCCTTCGTTCTATGGACCTCCGAAGCACCACAGGTCATGAGAAGGCTAAGAAACCATCAAGCCTACGTCCTTACCTGGGACACAGATATGAACTGCTGACGCTGACTCTCAGCCGACTACTCTCTGGGGATTCAGTTACTAGCTTTTTAACTTATCATCACTTTGACTTGGCTCTTTCTGGGTGTTCCCTGAGCCATGCATGCCATCTCAGATTCTGGATTCAACACTGGATGCTCAGGCTCAAATACACAAATCAAGCTGGGCTTTGTTTGGAGCCACGCTCTCAGTTTAGGTGAACTTTCCCAGCATTGTAGCAGTTGTTGAGAAATGCTAACCAGGTTTCCCGCTGAAATCCCTGAGCTCACTCTCAGCAGCCCCGAGCTTAAGTCTCTGCCACCTGGCTGCATGATGTCTGCACTAGGTAGCTGGCAACTCAGCCCTCAGCAAGGAACATGTAGTAGCCCTGGACACGAAAGCAAGAGTGGCTACTGTTCTGGAGTCATCTGCAGGCAAGTCTATCCAGTCACTTAACTAGCTCCAGTTGTTTACGGAAAACCACATTGTGCAAGGGATACGGGGACAAGTGCAGCAATGGAGTCCGGCCATCCCAGGGAACTGGACCTCTAAGATGGAGGCCAGCAGGGCCAAGATGTAGCCAATGTCGCCACCTGCTGGTTCCACAGCAAAGTACAACTGGGATGAAGTATTCAAGCACTGATGGCCGAATTCTGTCCTACTCCCTTGAGTCTCTAAGTTTGAGTCAAGTCAGTACCTGCCTCAGTAACAAAGTAACTGTGTCTGAGCACTGACACGTTACAGGCACTGTGCTAAGTGCTTCAGCAGCCTTATTTCATCATCATGACCATAAAATGGGCCCTATAGAATGTTACCCGTTTTACAAATGAGGAAAGAGAAGCACAAAAATGAAAAATCTCGCCCAAAGGCAAATCATAAGGAGCAAACCTGGGATAGAAATCTAGGTCTTTCAGACCTAACAACTATGATGTGCCGTCTCCCAATATACCCTGGAATCCTTCATAACATCACACCCTATTGGAAAAGTTTTTTTTGTCTCTATGTTATGAGACAACATGGTCAGAGAGGTCAAGTTCATGATCAAGGTCACAGAATAAGCACACGAACAGTGACTCCGCATATATAAGTGAATCATCTCAGAAGGGAGGAAGACTCTCAATGATCTCATCCATCCTTAGGAAACAATGACAAGACCTTGCCAGCCCTCCTAGCCCAGAAGCATCAGTCCTCAGTCCAGTTAACTCTAGGCTGTGTAGGAAATGTGTTCAAGACGTGAGATGGAATTTCTGCCCAGCCAGGACTTCTTTACTATACAAGACAGAGTTCTGAAATAGGGAGTCAATCAAGGTCCTTGACAGATTTTAAAAGCTAGCGGCTCATGCCACACTTTTCCACTGGCTAATCACCATACCAAACTTCTCAAAACTAGAACTTCTGCAGTAATAATAAAGCTATGACATCTGCTTCAGAAACCTAAAGCTGCCGAGGCCTACTCACAGTGACCTGAACTACCTGGTATCTGCAACCATGAGGGGGGGTCACCATCTGCCTGTGCTTCCCTGGCCCACTCAGTGCCGACTTGCAGAAGCTGGCTGTGAACATGGCCCCACTCCCCAACCTGCACTTCATGTCTGGCTTGGCCCTGCTGACCAGCCAGGACAGCCAGCAGTACTGGACCTTGATGGTACCTGAGCCTACCCGGCAGATGTTTGGGCCAAGAACATGATGGCTGCCTGCAACCTCTGCCGTGGCTGCCACCTAACGGCAGCTGCCACGTTCAGGGGCCACATGTCCATGAAGGAGGTGGACAGGCAAATGCTTAATGCCCAAAACATGAATAGCAGCTATTTCCTCAGTGTGGAAAGTCACAGACAGCTGTTTTACATTGTTGCTTGGATCCCCCACAACGTAAAAACAGCCATCTGTGACTTCCCACACTGAGGGCTAAAGATGTCTGCCACCTTCACTGGCAATTACACAGCTATGTAGATTGATCAAGTGCCACCTCAGAGCAGTTCACAGGTGTGTTCTGGTGCAAGGCTTTCCTGTGCTGGTACACAGATGAGGGCATGGATGAGATGGCATTCACCGAGGCTGAGATCAACACGAACGACCTGGTGTCTGCATACCAGCAGTACCAGGCGGCCACGGCTGAGGAAAAGAGACAGTTTGAGGAGTGAGCCAAGGAGGAAGTGGCCTAGAGCAGGCGTCCCCAAACTTTTTACACAGGGTGCCAGTTCACTGTCCCTCAGACCGTTGGAGGGCCGCCACATACTGTGCTCCTCTCACTGACCACCAATGAAAGAGGTGCCCCTTCCTGAAGTGCGGCGGAGGGCTGGATAAATGGCCTCAGGGGGCCGCATGCGGCCCACGGGCTGTAGTTTGGGGACGCCTGGCCTAGAGCCTTCTGTTACTGTGCAAAGGGTGGAAGCAGTGTGAGCTCTCTATTCATGCAGTCTGTTCTCTGACAGCCATGTCTTGCTCTATGCGCACTTGTTCTTTTTGTCTTGACATCACATGTTCTAAAGACACCCCAATGAAAGAATTTTCATAGTGAAAAAAAAAAATTTTCTTCAAGAGCAAATCAATCCAAGGGTCTGACTTCTCTGAGACTATGAAAGCATTTATCCAAATACCAGCTCATCTGGTCAGAATGGTTACTTCCAGCAATGCAGAAAGGGTGCATACTGGCCCCTACTCTGTCTACTTCTGCTAGTACCTGGCTGCAAGAGATTTTACTAAACCTTCTTAGTCTCAGAAACCATTCTTCATCACTTTGAGGTCTGGCACACTGCTGTAAGGAACCCAGCACTCTGTAATAGCATTCTGAAAACACCATGACCCCAAGCAGTGGAGACCAGCTCATGCCGGGGAGACAGGCTGCCTCTGAATGCTGCAAGTTCATGATGAGGTATGCAAGCCAGAGCTGGAGCTGGCACAGCCCGATCTGAGCACTGCAGTCTTTTAGCCCCGGTTGCCGTAACAATTTTGGCAAGCACAGCAGACAGAAGCCCTCAATACTGATGTGGCTTTGAGGCCTTTAAGGGCCTTGCAAAATCCCAGAAGCCTAGCTGTATAGGAGACAGCAGTCAACTGTCTCAGGCTGGGAGTACTGTTAAAAACCTGCAATAGGGTCCACAGGGACGGCTGGGGGCTCCCTGTCTGACAAGACACCCCCTTCTATAAGTCACCCTTGTAGGTAACGGTTATGGGTGGAACTGTGTCTCCCCTAAGCTCATAAGTTGAAGTTCCAACTCTCAGCTCCTCAGAATGTGACTGTATTTGCAGACAGTTTTTAAAGAGGTAATTAAGATCAAATGAGGTCACTGGGATGGGTCCTAATACAGTATAGCTCATGCTATGGTTTGAATGGGTTCACCTTCGAAACTCATGTTGAGACTTGGACCCCAAATGTAGTGAAGCTGGG